TTCTTGTATGTAAAATGAAGCTTTTCAGTGAAGTCAAAACTTTAGGACTGCATAACTTCTCCAATTCTTCCCCAAAGTTATTAAGAGTCGAGTAGGAGTAGGGTGGGATTATTGTAACTACATACCAGAAGTCAGGTTGGAAAATCTTTTGTGGTTGCTAAACTACCAGTGGCGAAAAATCAATGTTTTTGGTGTAAAAAGCCCATTTCACCAACACTTTTGGGGAGGTACTTTACTCGTACAACTCCCTCTAGCAGCAGAATTAACCCATCCAACCCCATTTCTATAGAAAAACACGAGGATCGCAGCATGTTTTGGCGAAGCGGGATGCTATCCAAATCAGAGCCGGAACTGCCATCCTCGTGCCAGGTACAAGTAGTGAGTATCTGGAACACGGCTTGTGTTACAAAACCACTCTTCCAGCAAAACAGCGGTGTCTCAATTTCCTATACGAGAGCAGCACTTCATGCCACGTGCGAGTGGAGTTGGCTAGTTCTTCTAGTCATCCAGTCCATCCAAGACGCGGTGAGGGTGGATAGCCGTCGGACTACACTCGGGCTACCGATGCCGTAGTACTGTACAAGCATAATCTGCTGCTATGGTAGATTCTACCCCATTGTTATGGACAAGCTTAGGTGGCTGGGTACGAATAGTGGCAGGGTAGACCCGCCTTTTAGTAATTTATCCACCCCGTCCGGACGACGGCAAGGCTGTAAGAGTACTGGACGGGGTGCGGACTAGCGCGGTTTCACGGTTGCATTGCTTGCGCCATGCTGCACACAATCCGATAGGGCAATGTCGCAGTTAGATCAAGTGCCACCATGATAAGCGACATGGGAGGGCTCACTCCGCCCTGCTCTTGGAAAAGTGAAGATATTTGCATGATCCCCTCTCGGCTCCGGGACTGAATGCCTCTGCCCGAGGACCGGACGAACGCTTCATCTCGACAGGAACTTACCATCAGTCTCGACCTCGTTTCCCTTTCATCTCAATTTGGGCTCACCATCATCTCTCTTCCTTGTCCCCGCATTTGTGTTACGCAGCTGTCAATTCCGCATAATTTTCTGCACTTTGTCTCCCGGATATCCATAGGCCACGGACAAACCTTTTCCATGGGCGGCGCGTCTTTGACGGAAGGGTGACCAGCTGTCAAACAGCGGGTAGACCTTGTGCTGCTCGAGTGCCCCTTACCTTCAGCTGTTTAACCTATCGGTGCAGGCAATCCTTTGATACTCATATGATAGACGCATCTCCCGCACCCTCCATCCCCCCTCGACTACCACCTCTCACTGAATTTTTCCTCTATCATCCATCCTATTTTTCCTCTCTCATAACCCCACAGCCAAATTGCAAGGACATCATCATGTACAGTACACCACGCTACCGCAGCCACCCAATCCTCCAAACGACAAATGACACACCACTAGCGACTATGGGGAACTGTTTTCCCTGGGTAGTTGGATCATCAACCCTTCTAGTTATTCAAATTCTTTCTTGAAACTCTAACTAGTTCTCTAACCGTGAGAATTCTATTCTTTGCAAGATAGACTTCACTGACAACGGCAGAGAAAGGGATAACAACTACGATGCCCTAATCCACGTGTTATTCCTGCAAACAATCCCCTAGATTCCCACATGCCAGAAAATGCGGAAATCTCCTCTTGTTGCCGGTTCTGGATTCGCCTGGGTAGCCGGGGGTATCGCAGAGTTTGGTGTCAATTCCAGTCCCTACCTCACCTACGGCACTAGGCCATCCAAATCGCACCCGACCCCCATCTCTTTCCCTCATATCCGGATTCCGCTCTCTCCCACCCCACTTTACTCTCTATCATTTATAATGAGTCCCGACCTCTCTCATCACATTCTACCGCCCACCACTTGCCATCAATACCTGGCCTTCGAGCATAATACTGTAGCCGAATGCTCTCCACTGGGTTCCCCGTCGCCGAATGAAAATGTAGTGTCCGAGGTCTGTTGGGGTGTCCTACGTATGCCACCTTACTCTATCCAGGTAATTGGGCATGTTGTTAGTCAACCTAGCTATCTATTTTTTCTCCCACCACCACCACAGCTACCCACTAGTCTCGTCCCCCTTCTCACATTTTTCCCTCCTACAAACAACATGGCTTATCATCAACCGCTACCCTGACCTCGCTTAGCCCCCCAGCAAAGCAGCCA